TATATATATATATATATATATATATATAACAAGCTCATAAAATTTTAAAGTCCATGAACAAGTGTGGGTCCTTGACACTGACACCCACAAAGTGGGATTCGATCCAAATCATTTAAGACTAATGGATTGGTGACAATGGAAATTGAAATATATTTTGCTTCTAGACAACTAGTTCAAGGTTTTTAATTCTTGGACTTAGTTTTGGCTATTTCAGTTCTTGCACTTTTGGTGCTTTGGAAATATAAGAAGTGAAATTCAACAGAAAGAAAATTGACTGAAAGCATAATGTGTAGACTGTATTTTTCTTGTTTAATATCATTGTATAATGGAATAGGTATTTCGATAATTAATAACTGCTGAGTAAACCTGGAAATATAGTAGTCTCCAGAAATGTACTAGCACAAGATACTTATTAGTGAAAAATGTACCAACAGAAATACATCTAAACAAGCTAGATATATGTAATACCTTTTTAAACATTGCTTGTTTTAAATACTAGTAAAGTAGTAGTTTGGACAAACTATTGGACCATACTCGGGATACCGAGCTATGTACCGACACTCTCTGATATCATTGGAAAAAGTAGTTAAAAAAGGAAAGTGCAAGATACCTGTATGTCCCTTGCCACTGCTTCGTCATACTGGGAAATGATGGTGGACTTGGGGAGTCTGATGACTCTGATCCATATTTGTAACCTTGCTCCCTATATCCAACAATATAAGATACAGATTGCCAGAGTTCAGCTTTATCATTAGGGTGGCAGAAAGAAATTATTGTGTTAATTGTATACCAAATTTCAGTGTACTAAGACCAATACAGAATCACAGAAATATTGATGAAAACATTATTAGGTCAATTATATACCTGTTTCCAGTGTAATGATACCAAAACAAGATCATAGAAATGTTGATGGCAAAAGAATTATTGGGTTCATTATATACCCAATTTTAATGTAATGAGCCAATGCGAAATGAACTTATATATACATAAAATTTAACCAAATCACTTAATATTCAGCTTTTTTGCATGATATTTGGATGGATACATGCTCAGAATCATGAATTATAAACAATTAAATAATTCAGTTTATGAATCAACTTTGGAAGCTTAAAAAACCATAGCTAAGTCCTTTAATTTAGCAAATGGAAGACCAGGACGAGAAAAAATGAGTGAACATAGGAGAGGTATGGTTGGGAAGAGGCCTAAAAAATGATAACATATGACAAGAGCACTTTAAATTTAGAGATTACTGGATTTCAATGATTTTTTTTTTTCTTCGGGTAAGAAGTCAATGTAATTTCTTAGTTTCTATTGAAACAACTTGAGTCATTAAATTCTCCTGCAAGGAAAAGTTTGGTCAAAATTAGTTTTGCTGTCCATGACTGACAGAAACAAGCCACAGTTACCCCGTTAAAAGAGGTGGACTATAAGGGAAATGCATATAAGATAGCATCAATAGGGCAACAGTATCATATTACTCTCATAGATCTCACTCAAATATTGTTTCTTAAAATGTAGTACCATGTCGACTAGGTATGACTAGCCTATAATTCAACTCACTTTAGGACACTATATGTGACTTAGTCAGAAGTAGGATTGACCCAACCACCCTGTTGATTTGGCTTGTGGATCACATTATTGATAGGAGGTCTAAAACTTTTAGGATCTGTATGGTAGCCAAGTTAATTAGGTTGTGATTTTTTCCCAAATACTTTAAACTAATAAAAAGCTATATATGGATGCTCCAAACTTGAATTTACTCACGGTCACAAAGTTAAATCAGAATTAGACCTAATTTAGAACTCTGACTCACAGTTGAATCAGAATTATTATAATTAAACTAGAACCTAAGTCCTGGGTTCGACTTACCATTCCTACTGGGTGTGTCGGCCGGCAGCATGACACATGTTGCCTTATACCGGCATGCTGGGTGTTGGTATGGTGAGTGTTAGTGTGGTGGGGCATGCTGACGACACAAAAAAGGGCCCAAAAAACCTCAAAAAGTACCTGAAAAATAGGAAAAAAACTTAGATTAGGGTTTTTTATTTGGAATTAAATGTAAGTTTAGTATAATTTCATTAAATTATCTAAATTAAGAAGGGATAATGACTTTTTTGGGCTTTGAGGAGCAGTTTTGTGACATGTTCTGAACCAACCTTCTGTTAATATCGAATTATCTACAAAAATTTGACTTGAATTGTTAGATTACGAGTTAAACTTTAAAATTCAAATGAATCAAGTGATAAATGGATTGATTAATGGATATACCTAGTTCTACCACCAAAATGAATGACTGGACTCCACAGGCAATGGTTTGGGATCCTCGATCCTATGTATTTGTATATCAATATGGTATGTTTGTCAGACCAAATCCTAAAATTACTCTCACGACATGGTATATTGATACACCATATGCTATTAGTTCATCAATTTCGTAGCTGTTGTAGCCTGATCATCATGAACCATACGTGTCTGAGGCGGTTCCTAAGGCAAGTATGATTGTGGTATGTATTAGTGTGGAAGTTGGAGTATGTTGGAACTTCTACTTTCGCCATTGACCTGCTACTCCGTATCATAAGACTGATCAGCCTTAGAAAAGAATGACTCAATATTAGTCAAATTATGATGAAATCATCATTAAATCCATTAATCATAGTATTAATAAATTTAATTACACCCTAATTGGCCCTTGTTTATCACTATAAACATGCCAAGCACCCGAATACGGATTAAATACATTGAATTGACCTAATATGGGCCAAATTTCGATGAAATCATCATTAAATCCACTAATTGCAACATTAAAAACTTTAATTAATCCCTAATTAACCCTCTTCTAGCATCGTAAACATGCAAATCACCCTAATACTTATTAAATACATAGATTTCATTTCACACAATGTGTCTAATTTTGATTAAATCAGCATTAAGCCCACTAATCATAGTATTAAAAACCTTAATTACTCCCTAATAAATCCTATTCTGCCATTATAAACATGTCAAACAACCTAATAGACATTAACCATATAGAATAGGGTAATCATCTCGTAAATCAACAAAAATCTAGAAAGGGAATACATATCTATTGATTAGAGTGATCCTTCTCTAACTTAAGTGTTAAACCTCTCAAATTTGATCCAATCCTTAGATCGCAGCTTTGCTCAAGTTGAAGAGGGTACAATGTGAGAATGAGAGAGATGTGAGTGAGAATGAGTTTGAGAGAGTTGAAGAGTGAAAGAGAGTAAAACGAGCTGAAAAAGGAGGGAGGAAAGGGTTTAAAAACCCTTTTAAATGGTTCCAACGTTCAAAATTAACTGTTGGAATGGATCAAATCTCAACCATCCATCAGTAACAGTCAAAATCTGACCGTTACCGACTGGTACATGTCAGTATTGGTCGAGTTTCGACCGTGCTGCTTGGTACAGACCCCATATCGCCCGATATGGGATACCCAACTATAAACTGCCTGGTACAGGGTGGTTCGCGTGTTGATCTCTTGTCAGACTGGTTCGTACCACCCATACAGTACCGTATCAGGCAGTACAGCAAACACTGCCGAAGTCTAATGGACTCTTCACTGCACAAAACTACCAACTGGAGACTGAAGAATAACCAATTCATCAACTGTCTTTTCCAGTCATAACTCATAATTACTAACTATGAACATTTGCATATATTAGTCTGTTCTCGTGTAGAGCTGCAAATCAATTTATCCATTTATGGAGTTCCTCCTCTCAAGAAATGAGGTGGAATGAGCATCAATTAAGTTTATCAAGACTGTGATATTGATTCTTGTTTTCTTTTTCATAATGAATAGCAGTGTGTGGTTTGAGCATTTGATATTGTAATGATCGACTTGGTTATTGATAAACCCTGAATCTCTATCGAAGATTCCAAACTCCAAAGTTGTCTGTACTAGTTTATTAGCTCCTGAATTTATTTTGCACCTAGCTATGTTGGACAGGGCGTTGTACTTGGCGAGGAATTTATAACTTGCTATAGAGAATTGTTTTAATGTGGGCAGCATGGATCCTTCAACTATTGACTTGTCCTTAATGACTGGCCCCATATAAGTGTTGGACGATTTTCATTCTCTTAGGGCTCACAATTACAGCCGAAGTTCGCATGTTTTGGTTTTTAACCATTCCAGTAGATCAGCATGGAGAGAACCCTTTGAGATTGTTGAAAGGGATATGGAAGTTCTGTCTATTACTTGTGTTTTCTTGCATTTTTCTGTTGGTAAATGTTGACTCATGTTTTCTTGCAGCCATTTGGATTTCAGTTGTTGCCTTTCCGTGGATTTACTCAACTGGCATCACTATTTGAGTAAGCTTGTCTTTCATATTCAACTATAATACCATTTTGTATCTCATACATTTTAGAGGAAGGTTAACGGCTATTTGATTGTGTTCTTATATGGCACGTTTGCTTCAATTTGCATTTTTAATTGAGTTTCAGTACTTATCTTTGTATGTTATACTGCAACTGTAGCATATAGCCTTGATCATAGTACATTTCATGATGTCCTAAGTGCTGCTGACATCTGTAATTTATTTTGCTCATTGATGTGCTATGATGCACTCATAATAATCATTGATTCTTTGGAAACATGTATTAGTCTTAGGTGGAGATAGTAGCTAATATTTGCAATTTGGTGTGCCTTGTTGATCATTGGCTATTGTTTATTGAGTCTTTTGTCAGTCATGTTGATTGATGCCAACTGGTCTGTGGCCAATAGGTAGTAAATCTTTACATATTGCCATGGTGGTGCAATCCTGCCTGTTGGGTACCTTATTCAAATACTTTACCAATTTATGTAAATATTAAAATCTTGTCCTGTATTGTTAAACAGACTCCTAATTCTCCCCATGGATTATATATCTGTGAGTCAGAACACAGGACAATCATTATATTCTTTAATTTGGATTATAAATCAATTGATATGATGACTTTAGGAGCACACCCTTTTGTTTCCATGGTTTTTCTTAAAGTTGAAATCAAACAGTTTATATTCCCATGGTAGCTAGAGATACATTCTTTCTGCTATATGTTCCATTACATATTTGTCTCTTTCAACCATATTTTGAATAAATCAGTCAGGAACTCCCAATTCACCGCCCATGGTGTTTCGAGGTCAGAGTAGATATAGTAGATCCCTAGTCTGATCTGACATGGAATGGTTTGATGATGAAATTTTCAATTGGTTAATCATCAAGTTGCATATCTTTGTCCTTTACTTCTATCACATGACTGGTCATACTTGGATCTCATGTTGACCATGATGAAGGTCCTATAATCCTGAGTTGCTACTGTGAAATCATTGAACAATGGTCGAGTTGAAGATTGTGTGAGTGACTGAGTGTGAAGGTTGGCTCACCCAAAGTATTGTTTGATCTGATGCATACACCAAAGAAACTTGCTTTTGTGGTTGAACTTGCAATCTTTCAGCTATATAGGGGCCTAATATATACACTTCCAGATGTTGCCTTTGTACTTTATGAGCTAACATGATGGTTATATTTGTGTTAATACTTTGACCTGATTAGCCCTACATTGGATGTGGACTTAGCATATATGGTTTTTTGGGCTTGAGTTGTGACAATCTGGTTGCCTATGAAGATGATCAATAACCTTTTATTGCTTTCCATGTCACAATTCTAATTAATATATGAGGGTAATTACAGATTACCCCCTGTAGTTACTTAGGATTAGTATCTTGGTCCCCATACTTTAAAAAGTAGCATTGGGATCCCTACACTTATGAAAGTGAAACATTTAATCCTAATTCTTCTAACGTCGTCAATTTTGTCGTGAATAAAAAGGATAAAAAAGTAATATTATAGTAACTTATGTTTTCCTCCCTTGTGGATGGTAGACCATCGGCGATGTTAGTGGCGCACAAGGCCGGCGCCGCCAGTGGCACACGAGGCCGACGATGCGCGAGGGGAAAGTGGAACAACGCTTAAGGCGAGGAGGTGCATGGAGCAGTTCTTGATCTCGCCGATTATGTCGCGCGTGTTGGAGACGGATGCGACAGTGGGAGGCACCTCCTGCACTCCGTCGCAGGTCAGTGGCACGCAAGGCAGGCGACGCCGGTGGCACGCGAGGCTGGCAGCGTGCGAGGGGAAAGGGGAACAAGACTTACGGTGAGGAGGTGCACGGAGCGGTTCTTGATCTCGTCGATCATGTCGCGCGCGTTGGAGACGAATGCAGCGGTGGTAGATGCCTCTTGCACTCCGCCACAAGTCTCCCTCCTGGAGTCCTACCACAAAAGGGAGTGGTAGAATTCCACCACCTCCGGCACCCGCCTCATGCTTGTTGCTGTCAACCTGGACCCTGATAAGACCCCTAGGGTTTTATCATGGAAGAAGAGAAAAGAACGAGATAAGATCACTTCGAGGGGATCAGCCTCCTAGGGTTTGCCAAAGGCTGAAATGTTATTTTCTTGATGAAGAAAAGAAGTAGATACATCTCTTTTTATAGAGTTCTACTCTTGAGTCCATTAAGACTTGGACTCCTAATCAAAGATTCAAAATAATAAATCTCAAATAAGACCCCTAGCCAATTAGAAGGCCTAGCCAACTCCTACTGGAACTAGAAAACTCAAGAGAACATTACATCAGTTTAGGACTCAGAAACTCAAAATTTTAAGGGTTCCTAGCAGACCCCAACATTGGCGGCAGGAGAGGTGGAGGTGGAGGAGGTGGCCGCGCTCTGCACTGCGGTGTGGATTTTACCAATGGGGCTAGCGACGGAATTAGCAAGAGGCACACCAAGTTGGGGCCTTTGCTTGTTGCGATGCAGGACGTGGTATGGGAAGAAGACGACGCGAGGCCGGCGCGCGAGGGTGGTGGTCCAAAGGGGATTCAGGTACCTGCCTCGCTCGCCACCGACATCGTTGGCCTTGCAAGCCGGTGGTCTACCGTCTATGAAATTAACTTTTTTATCCTTTTTGTTCCCGTCGAATTTGATGACATGAGGATAATTGGGGTTAAATGTTTCACTTTTGTAAATGTAGGGATCTCAATGCTACTTTTTAAAGTGTAAGGATCGGAATGCTAATCCTAGGTAACTATAGGGGGTAATCTGTAATTACCCCTAATATATGATGTCTCTATTGATAATTCCTAAGTTGATTCTAAATTCCATATGGCCTGATCTGAGTTTAAACTTTACTCGAGTTATCGGTGTAAGATTTCATACACATAAATCTTGTTTATATTGCATGTAGGACTTCGTTGTATTGGAATAAAAAAATAATTTTTAGCCGGTGTGAAGGATTAAACGTGAGTCCTGATTTAATTTTTAGCCACCTTAATTTAATGATGTTGGAGACATCTATAAAAAATAGAAGAGAAAAGGAAAGACAATTAGATATCCTAGAACTGGATGGTGGAATTTAAATGGTGAATATGATTTAAATTTTTAATAGATTGGAAGAGGGAAGGATATGAAACTTGAAAGAAATATGGAATTTATATTACTAGAACTTCGTTACTAATCCAGCTAAACAATAACAAGATGCAATGTTGTTCTTCAAAGAAGGGAAAATTGGTTGAACTTGCAAAAATATAATATTGATGAGGATTTTAAATATTTAAAGTGATCAGAAAAGAGGCTTAAATACCTTTTAGTAAGTCTAAATATAACACAATATGATTGTTTTCATGGTAAGCTATAGTAGCAGTGATTTCAATAGGCGCTTGGGCCCTCGCCTAGGCTCTCGGGCTCGCCTCGCCCGAGCGCCTCGCTTCATTTCCAGGCAGCGCGCTTCAAAGAGGCGTCGCCTGGGCGCTCGCCCGAGCCCAGGCGTCGGGCGCTTCGGGGAGCGCCCGGGTTAAACCAGGTGACCAAACCAGCGTTTTAGGTTTGGTTCGGTCTCCGGTGCTTTTAGTTGGTTTAATCGAACCAACTAAAGCATTGATATCAGCCTTCCTCTCGCGACTTCCCAACTCTAACCCTACTCACCGTTCCCGCTCTCGCTACTCGCTGCTACCGCTGCCACCGTCGTCGCTCACCGCTCTCGCTCCTGCTCCCGTTGTTGTTGCTCGCTGCTACCATTGCCGCTGCCCCTGCTCGCTTCTACCGCTGCCACTACCACTGTCGCTGCTCCCGCTGCCGCTGCTCGCTGCTCACTGCTACCGCTACCGCTGCCACCGTCTTCGCTCGCCACTCCCACTCCTACCACTGCCACTATCGTCACTAGCCGCTCTTGCATTCGCTGCTGCTACCACTGCCGCTGCCACTGTCGTCGCTCGCCGCTTCCGCTCCCGCTCCCGCTGCTCATTGCTATTACTGTCGTTGCTCGCTGCTGCCGCTCCCGCTGTCGTTGCTCGTTGCTATCGTTGCCGCTGCACTCAGTCGGCAGCCTTGATCTTCCTCTTAGTCACGCTCTTCTCACTTTCTATATTGTTAACAGTATATTAACAGTATACTACTAATTGTATACTAGCAACAGTATTTTCTTAATTTAATATCATATTTTTATTTAAATAATTATATTTATTAATTATATTATATATTTTTATATTTTAGCATCTCGCTTCACTCGGGTGAGCGTCTAGCACCTTAGGCGTTTTTGGACCTTGGCGCCAATAGACGCATAGTGCTTTTTAAATCATCGAGCTATAGATTATATTTGGTTATGAAGAATGAACATTAACATGCAATGATACATGCTTTCTATGAGCAATCTCAGCCTCTCAGGAATGTGGGACACGACATTGGCACATTAGCTAATAATTTATTTATTTTGTTTCTTTCTAATAATTTCTTATGTTGAGATATATTTTATTTATATACATCGATTAGTTTGTATAATTGTTCTTATCAAATTTTTTTCTACATCTTGTATTATTTTCTTTTTGTTGTATACTAATCTTCCTAAACTTCATAAAACACTACTTTACCTGCACACATGTGCTAAGATTTTCATTTGTATTTCACTTACCATAATTAATCTGCTACTGATTTAATTCTTATGTTCTTTCAGTTCATGTTTCACCTCCAGAACCTGCAATTTTTATTAAAATTAAACATCAATTTTACATTATTTGCATCTTTAGCAATTACCCTAATTTTTGCTACTATTTTACACCATTCTTTCCATAATCCAGTTTGGTTCAGAAAATATTTGAAGCAGCAACCTGAAAGTCCAGTTAATTGTAGTGCAGCATTTTCTTAGCCCGTGCTCCTATTCTACAAATTCAGATACTTTTGCTGCACATGGCCTGGTACATGACTTTTGGCTTGGTTATGCCTTTAAGGATTGGAACAAGTCCCCACATAGAAGTTAAGGTTTTCCATTTTTTTCTCTTTGGATTTTT